GTAATGGATGTTCGTTTCAAAGTTAATTACCTCTTTTTCGTCACGAACAGGATTTTAACACAATCCGCTGAATGGCTTTACTTTATAACCCTTAACGTATAATATTTTGTTATGTTTAAACAAATGCTTTTAGAGACTCGTTTTTTGTGTATGTTAGCGTTGTTAACTTGTCATTATTTATAATTAACAAATGGTTGATGTGTTGGCCGTTAATGGTTGTAAATCAGGAGACGCCGACCTCCGTGCGTGTTGGGACGAGCAGGCTGACCGAACGGCGTCGCCACTGGACGGAGGTGGCGATCCTGCGTGCCTTGTTGGCGTGACTTACATTCCAGTGAAGTTCTCCAAAGGGTTGTCATTACAGAGCGAACGAGGTTAATTTCTTCGTTAATTATTTCAAAGGCTGTCTACCGCGCCAACTGTGATGGAGGTTGTGTTCCGGCTGGAAACTGTGGCGCGCCCGGCGTTCCCTTTGGGCTAAAATCAAACACTTTCCATGTGGTGCTTGTGGAATGATCCGACGTTTTCTATTTCTTTTTATATATAATCCAATCTTCCATATTTCTTAATATATATAGTCGATTTTAAAGGACGGGACGAGAGTACTTAACCTATCTGTGAAGAAATCTAACCACAGGTTTTGTAATTTTTTTTTATTCGAGTGTCAGGAATCCGTCCCGATTTCAGAGCTTTTCCCTTCAACAAAGTCGGATTTGGGGATTGAGAGGGACTTTTTAACATTTAATGAAAAGTGTACTTAAAATCCTTATGGTTTACATGTTTGATATTATATAAATATATGCAGGACAAAAATGCTCAATGCAGTCATGTGCCTTTTTTACTTTGTCTTTTTAATACTTTTGTATATAGTGTAGATGAATTGTATCGCTTTTGTATATTGTACATACTTACTTGGTGATAATTATCTTCATTGTTTCTTTCCCTCGAAATTTCTATTGTTGTTGAAGTTGTTCTGTTCCACGACAGCAGTGGTTCCTTTTTCTACCTTTTAATAAACAACTTGTTGGTAAATGGAAGAAGTGTTTTCTTGAATGCCCTTGCCTTCCGACGATGGCTCCTTTTAAAATTCAAATTCCTTTTCCCCAAAAACTTTACATGTTCGTTCCTGTCTTTCAACGAAACTCATTCAGATTCAGATTTCTTTCAAAATAATGCCCGAGGAAATGCAAATACCCAGAGGATAAAGACGACAATCATTTGACAATTCCAAAATCCATTTTTTTTCATCCAGACTTAAGCAAGTACAATACTTCTATTTAGAAAGAAGACGAAAAAAACAATTATCGACACAAGGACATACAAACAACATTCAAAGAAGCAACTTAAAAGTAATCTAATAGCTTTCTTCTCTTATCTCGAAAAACATGATCAGAGCTTGTCTATGGTGAGGACTCCCTTACTGGGCCAAGCGTGCGAAGGGGAGGCTCGCCTGCACTCGGGTCGCGTCCAACAAGAGCGACGTCTGTCCTCTCAACATTCACAGCTTTAGTTTTTTTTTCCTTTTTCTAACGAGGAACATGTGTGTACATCATGACAAGAAAATATATATATAATTTATATATAGTGCTTACAAGATCTGCTGAAAGATACATAACAGTTTTGGAGGTGAGGAAATGCAGTACATAGGAGGATATTTAAGAAAAGTTACCAAAGTGAGTCAAAAAGGAACTTGTAAAAGAGGCTCAATCTTTACAGTGCATCAAACTTAAGTATTTTTTTTATAATTGAAAAAAAAAAACTTACATAACACAACTATAAGTAAATAAAAAGATAAAACAAACAAAGGCTTTTTACATGGATAATGAAACCATACTTAGAGAATATGAGGTTTAATCAAACACTTTTGACATGCAAGTGCATTGACACGTGTGCTTTGCCTATCACAATTTGGTATTTACATAGAGGGGGTCAACATTCTAGCAAGATTCACAACTCCTGGTGTATAGCATCTATTTAGTTCACTGGTATTGTAGTAAAAAATACAACACGTCAAGTCGTTCCAATCGTGGACTGCAGCGACAGGTATTATTATTATTATTATTATTATTGTGCCAGGTGTTTTCTTTATACATATAAATATTTACTTTTGTATTCAAGTTGTTTATTCCTATTGAAACATCTACTACACCATCCAGTTATCCATTTTTGTTTTGTTTACACAGACTTCTGTCCCCTGCCGACACACCTGTTCCTCAGGCCCGGAGGCAGCCACAGTCCTCTCTCCTCTCAAGGGAACCTCTCACACAAGCGGCCGCACGTGGCACTCCTAGGCCAGGCTGGACAGTGTGGGGCAGAGCCTGAACAGAATGAGTAAGTCAGCACAATTCTCAACTCTTCCTAGATCTTTGAAACGGTTTACAATTGTTATTATCTTTTATTTTTCAAAGAGAGAGAGAGAGGGGTGTGGAAGGGGGAGGAGGGGAGTGGGGGGTCACACTAACATTACAAACTCTAATTAAGCCATTTTCTTGAAGAATTTTTTTTAGTTTTTAATTTTTTAATGTTTTTTTTTGTTTATTTTTTTTGTTGTAGTGTGTGTGTGTATGAATCCTTTTTTTTTAAATAGTTTTATATTTAATTACTTATGTCTTAAACCTGCATGTAATTTACCAAGCTACACCTGTGTCAGTTGCCATTATTTTTATTGATCTATTTATCTATATTCTTTTGCTTTGAGGGCGAATATTTCAAGGTATTTTCCAGTTTAGTTTTATTGCCACATGACAGCCATTGGAGGCATAGGTATCTGCTAGCACCAAGAAGGGTTATGAGTGCTATCTGTTGACAGTGATAGCAAAAAAAAAATAAAAATAAAAATAAAAAAATAAATAAAAAAATAATAAAAATCATACAAACTCATATAATTAAGATAATAATAACCAAAATAAAACAATTGCTTGGCTGCTTCCATGGCGGTTATACCAAAGTGCTTTCTGGAATGTTTGGGAGATCCAAATCTGGTCCCGTTGCAATCGCTGAGGAATGCATCTGGGACTGTTCCCTTGGAGGCTGTGAAGGGTACTATGACAATCATAATAACAATAACGAAATTACTGTAAGCTTCTTTTTATAACAATAATACCAATTGAAATAACTCTTTATAGTAGTTATAATAAAGATAAAGATAATAATAATAATAACAATAATAATTACAATAATGATAATAATAATAATACAATGGAAAGACAACAGAGTATGAATGACCAACTCCAATAACCAAATAAGTTCAGTGGAAAAAGCCTGACTGAAGCACCACAGGCAGCTCAGCCTCTGCCGCCCTCGTCTCCACTTCCCGCCCGAGGGCCTAATGAGGGCGAGGCGGATCAGGTCGAGCCACTTCGTCCCTCGCAAGCACACCACGCAGACGCCTCCTTCCACACCTTGACCTAAGCTTTAAAAACTGATTTAAAAAAAGAGGAAAAACTTCATTCAGATGTGTGTCTATGCTTGGCAATTGAACCTTCCTGCTGCGAGGGAATCACGGCAAACTAATGGGGGGCTGGGGTGCACGGGGAACGGGAGGGGTCAGAACGAGACGCGGTGCGTGCTGGACACTCAGGGGGGTGGAACAGGGCACCACGGAGGGGCTCTCCCAGGCCAGGTCGGCTCGAGGCACGCACAAAGCCTGGCGTTCGTCTCATTCTCCTACACACGTACTTGTTTCTTTGTTTGTTTTGGTTAAATTTAGAGGCCAGAAAGGCAATGTGATGCAAGACCACATCCTCTGCCAGCTAGAAGCCATTGAGTTGCCTCACCAGCAGCTGTCTCTTCCCTTTTGCGCCAAGGGAAGCACTGTGTCCTATCCCGCCCGTGAATTCGCCAGGATGCACCAAGGTATTGCTACCTGTTCTTTGGCCCCAAATTAGAGTGAAGAGTCAGACTAAACCAGGGAAATCATTTTGCAGAAACGACATCAAGCAGCACCAAGCAACCCAAATGCAACAAGGTGAAGGGGGAGGGGACGAGGGCTGAAATGATAGCACACAAGGTGGCTGGACTCTTATTACAAAGACAAAGACTAACTGACTGGTGGATGATGGGAGTCGACTGTTAATGTGTCCGATATAATACATTCGGCCAAGGTCATCACAACAGAAAAGTGTTCACAGCAGCTCGACTCACTCTGTCTGTGGCCGGACCCAGGCTGCGGGTGAGGCACGGCAAGACCCCAAGCTGCCTCTTCAGCCCGGGGTCCTCTGCCCTGCTCACCAGCGCACCCTGAGGCTCCTCAACAATCAAACTACCTCTCTGTGTCTATGGAAATATAGGAAAACGAGCGGCCCAATTCAGCGCTCAACAGCCCGGTCAATTTTTGTGACCTCTTGACCACACACAGCTGGGGAAACGCACGAGTGTAATGAAGCGCGAACTCTACAGAGTAAACACTAAAGTGGCGCAAATGGAGAGCTGCTCGGGACAGCCAGTGGGAGAGACTGGTACCTGGGGGGAAGGGGGTAGGAGGGAAGGGGTCAGGGGTGGCTTACTACACTCTACGAGAGTTTGTCCAAACGCCTACCGCCAGGCCTCATGTTTCCAATCAAGTTGGGCCCCTGAAGTGCTCTCTCTTGGGTGTTCTACTTGGGGCTCCTGTGCTGGGTCCTCTGCGCCTCCATTACGCCAAACCTTTTTTTGTTTTTTGTTTTTTTGTTTTTTTATTTCTCCTAGTGAAACATATTTAGCGTCAATATACAAACGCTTACTCTTCAAGTACAACGAGACAACTGGGATAGAGAGAGAGAAAGAGAGAGACCAACAATGAAAGATGTTTAGGATTCCATGTTAACTCAACTGTGCTACTTCCCCAAGCAGGAAAAAAGTGCCAAGATGCGCTTTAGCTCATTCACACAGTAGGGTAAGGGGAAAGAAATAAAAAAAATAAATGATTTTTCTTTTTTTTTTTTTCAGAATACAAAAGAGTTGAGAATTTTTTGTGTATTAAACCTCCTGTAACTTGAGGACATGCACTGGTCTCCTGCTACCCAGTGGGATCCATTGGGTACTGGGGTAGGGGGTAGGGAGTAGGGGGGCAAGGGAGGAGGAGAAAGAGGAGGAGGCAAGCAATGTCTTCGAAGGAGAAAGGAGCCTGCAGTGACCAGGAGGCTCCACCCAGCGCAGGAACCCCAGGCCAGACAGACAAGCGTGGGGCCAAGGGAAGGACCCTCGACACCCAACGTCTTGTGACTGCTTATGCTAGAGGGCAACGCTGAATGGCTTTCATCCAAGGCCTCAAAGCCATGCTTTGGGGGCAAGGGAAGGAGGAGAGAGGGACAGGAGGAGGTGTGTATATAGTATTAAAAATAAAATTTCAAGAACAGAAAAAGTGGAAAACAAGGAAACAGGAGAAAAGTAATTAACCTACCTATCATTTAAACTTCTTATCATGTACCAATATCAATAATAAATACACAACAAATGATGCAATGAATAATCTTTTCAAACACAAAGTGTGATGAAAAATGTGTTAACTTAGGACATAGGACTGGAATGATGCACCAAATCCTTTCCCAACACGACAGTGGAGCTCCCAGCCTTGTCACTCAGCGCAAGGAATGCAACCAAAGTGCCCTGGCCAATGACCACAAACTATGTAGGTAAACAGAACAAGACCAGAAAAAAGGAGAGAGGAAATACATTTGTCCACTGCTCCCTTGACACACCCTGTGCTGCTTGTGTGGGTGTGACACTCTGGCCTTCCTGCCAGAGCAGCTCTCGGCACAAGCCGAGGATTCTAACAAATGTCTGCAGCAAGTGAGATGTCAAGAAAGAAGGAAAAGAGAGAATGAACGGAAGAAACACCATCCATCCCCTTCCCTACGAAACGCAAATTTCCGCAAAAATCTCCGGGGAAGGAGTGACCCTTTTTTCAAGTCAGTAAAAGGGAGGGAGAGAGACAACGGTGAACGAGAGAGAAATGTACATACTCATATATATATATATATATAAAAAAAGAGAAAGTCACGCCTGCTTCTCTCCGTTGTTGTGAGAGGGACTCCAGTCGGCCCAGACAGCTGTGGCAGTGTTGGAGAGGAGGGTGTGGGAGCTCCATTGCCTTCAGGGTAAATGGTGGTAGTGGAGGTGGAGGTGGAGGTGGAGGTGGTGGAGGTGTGGTGGTGGTGGTGGGGAGGTGAAGGAACCACCGCCGCCTCCGCCACATTAGCTCACATCCTGGTCCTCCACATCCTGCAAGAGCTCCTTCTGTTCGCCCTCACCAGCTGCAAAGGGAAGCTCATCTTAACAGGTTGCACTTACATATTCTATTTGTTAAAATGGACAAATAAAAACTGCCATAAAGAAATGCTTCAGGAGGTAAAGAAAAGAAGTGAGGGAGATTGGAAGTCTAAGGTTCAAGAAAATCTATAATGCATAATAGAATTATTTTACTCAACTAGTAGTTGTGGTAGTAGCAATAATAAAAAGAGAGCATAATTTGCAATCTTCTCTCTTTAACGTTTTGTCCTAAAAACATTCTCAAGGGCTAGTAGACCCTACACTGAGCTATCCTGGGAGTGCCAAACCCTACAGTCTGACACCGATTGTGTAAACGAGCCCTTAAACAAAAGCAGGGGACTACCCACCTTCGCCCTGCATGTCGGAGGTCCATAACGTGAGGTTGTCACGCAGAAGCTGCATGATTAGGGTGGAGTCCTTGTAGCTCTCCTCTGATAAGGTGTCCAATTCTGCAATGGCATCATCAAAGGCTGCCTTGGCCAGGCGACACGCTCGCTCAGGGCTGTTCAAAATCTCATAGTAGAACACGGAGAAGTTCAGTGCAAGACCCAGCCTGCAAGGAGAGAACAAGATGTTAAACAGAGTGGGAGATGAGCTGAAATTGAACCCTAAGGATGGCCTCCGGAGAAACTTCTTTCCTGCTGTCAATTATTTTCCTTCAATGAGAAAAGGGTTACACCTACAAATTCTCCTCTACTTAATAAACCATTTTATTCACAAAAATGAAGTTAACAATCTCCAGCTTCCTCTCCCGCATGACATGTCCAATTCTGATGTAGTTTATCAAAAGCGTTAAGACATAGATGGCTTCATAAATGCTTAGCCACAAGGTGTCAATCACTAGTCCTAAATCTCTCACCCGTTTACCATTTTGTTATTTTTATTTTATTTTTTTATTATTATTTTTTTTAATGCTATTTGTAATCTAATAAAATAATCAATCACAGTGTCAGTAACAACATCAACCATAACAATAGCAGTGCATAAAATCCCCTGAAATTCAAGGAACGGGAAAACTGGGTGATGTCCTGTCAAGCCTCCTGACTGTCTCCCAGGTGGCCGAGCACTTACGGAGCTGCCTGTGTACAACAAATCTGACAAAATACTACAGGACATGTACCCACAGCCAATTGGGCAGTTCTTCTTTGTCCTCTTTTTAAAACGACTCACCTGATGGGGTGTGTGGGGGGCAGTTCCGTCATGGCGATGTCACTGGCTGCCTTGTAAGCGACCAGGGAATTCTCTGCGGCC